TCTCTCCACTGCTGGATGAACCCCTCCCCCCGTGGTCGCTCCACTGCTGGATGAACCCCTCCCCCCGTGGTCTCTCTACTGCTGCATGAACCCCTCCCCCCATACATCAGCGGCAGCCGTGGGGCAATTGCTACATTGGCAACCGCGGTCACCGCGTGGCCCACATCTTGCCCTCGCGTCTGGCGTAGCGCGGGTGAAGAAGGTGGTGAGCTGCAGAAGTGGGTGGCGCTCTTTGGCCTACTCTTCCTTCCGTGCCGACCAGCGGTCTCGGAAGAGGCGAGCAATAACCACACTTTGCCCCATGGCATGCAGCGGCCGGGCGAACCACGTTTTTCCATCCATTATAGAGGGTTTTTTTGTGTGTGGGTTAGATGTCGTAAATATATAAATGTTGCGTCGTTAAACCCGCCACCGCCAACTAGTAAGGGGTTTGTCACGTGAACGAAACGTGGCCAATTCGTTACTCGTACAGCACGTGCCGCTGTGGTGGAGAGTGAACCTACAGCGTGCTGGGCGCACACTCCACATGCCGCACCCCTCCCCAATAACCATCAGCGGGTGACGTCACTACACATGGGGCAACCCCCCCTCATGAATAATCATGAGCGGGTGACGTCACTCCACATGCCGCACCCCTCCCCAATAACCATCAGCGGGTGATGTCACTACACATGGGGCAACCCCCCCCTCATGATTAATCATGAGCGGGTGACGTCACTCCACATGCCGCACCCCTCCCCAATAACCATTATCGGGTGACGTCACTCCACATGGGCAACCCCCCCCGCCCCTCATTCATAATCATGAGCGGGTGACGTCACTCCACATGCCGCACCTCTCCCCAATAACAATCAATGGGTGACGTCACTCCACATGGGGCAACCCCCCCCCCTCCCCTCATGAATAATCATGAGCGGGTGACGTCACTCCACATGCCGCACCCCTCCCCAATAACCATAATCGGGTGACGTCACTCCACATGGGCAACCCCCCCCGCCCCTCATTAATAATCGAGCGGGTGACGTCACTCCACATGCCGCACCTCTCCCCAATAACAATCAATGGGTGACGTCACTCCACATGGGGCAACCCCCCCCCGCCCCTCATTAATAATCATGAGCGGGTGACGTCACTCCACATGCCGCACCCCTCCCCAATAACCATTATCGGGTGACGTCACTACACATGGGGCACCCCCCCCCCCTCCCCTCATTAATAATCATGAGCTGAACAATGTTTCTATTTAATATTTCAGATCCACTGCAATATAAAACCCTTCCTTGGACGGGCAAAAAAAAAAGCTAGTTTTTTAATATTTGTAAAATTTTCACTTCCGTTTCAACTGCCGCGCCGGGAGATATAAACATCCAACGGGCGCGCTGCACGTGCGCGTGGTTGCCGACCGTTTCAACTCCGTCGCAGATCTCCTCCCTTCGTTGCAACATCAACAACGACAACCAAAGCAAACAAGGTGAACATTATGCGCGTTTGTCTGAAGCTTTCGTGACTGCAGGAATCCATACTCGTTGGTGGGGAGCGGTAGCGCCCCATCGTACACGGTAGCGCACTGCGCTACCGTGTACCAAGTGACCCGAGTTCGATTCCAGCTCACGACGAGAAACTGGTGAATATCTGAGCCGGGCCTCCCTTACGTCGACTCAGCCTTCAACGAGTAACCTGCTGTCGCGGTGTGTAAACATGTAAGACTAGGGGAGACAAAGGCGGCCGGGCGTGGTGTTGGCAACCCAGCCCCCCCCCCTCGACCCTTAAATCGACTCGCTATGCCACGGAGCGTGTGGGAGCGGTTGTTTTGTTGACCCCCGTGGTCGCCCTCGGCTTTACAATCGAGGTTTTATTTGGGTTGGATCGCGTCAATATAATTGTGTCGTTAAACCCGCCGCCACCCGACACAGCCACTTCGCAAGGTTTGCCACGTGAACGAAACGTGGCCAATTCGTTCCAAGTACAGCACGAACCGGTTTCTTGCAGAGTGAACCAAGGCGGTAACTATAATAGATATTGGGGACACACACACACGCCCCCCCTCAATATTCAAATATGCTCAAAATGTCTCCCCCAATTTATTGCTATAAAATAGATTTCTGTTTATATGATTGTGGTTATGGTTGTACTTTATTAATTCCCAATTTCTCTGCCATTATACACAATGACACAAGTAAAGGTAAAACAGATAAAACAGAGCAATGTAATACAATACACTATTAGACATTATTGTAAAACATTTTTTAAAAAGTCCATCCTATGTTTTAGTGAATTTTTTTATATTTTAGGCAGGAAATTCGTTTTAAAATTTAGATATTTTTTTCTGGGGGGGGGGGGACCCCCACACCTCCTGAAATATTTGATCCCCCCCAATGTTGACTCCATGGCTACAGCCTTGATTTATACTCTTCAACAACGACGCCAATGATGATTTTTAACTGCAGCATGAACACACAGCATGTGCCCTTTGCAAGTCACAAGACTCATCCGATTTGAAACGGACGCCCTCTGGTGGCGACTGAGCGTGTGGGCCACACTACGACGCGTCACTGCTGCTGCTGGCGAAGTGTCGCTCTCGATTGTAAATGTTGGCTCTCCGACACACCGGTGTGTGCTGTAACTCGTCACGAATTGGCCACGTTCTGTTTACGTGACAAGGGGCCGTCCATAAATGACGTCACGCACCTAGGGGGGGGGGGGGTCAGACATTTGTGACGATGTGTGACGATGGGGGGGGGGGGGGGTTGAGAAATGTGACGTCACATCAAAATGCGCAACTTTTAATAAATATAGACAACACGTTCTACTTAATTAAATAGACTTTATAATAAATGTTTTCTCCTACAACATCAGAATGCAGCGCCACATTAAATACGCACTGCAATGACAATAGTTTAAAGCGATTTGAAGCATGTTTTATATTTGTTTTGGGGGGGGGCAGAGCTTTGTGACGTCATATTTGAGGGGGGGGGGGTCTGACTTTTTGTGACGCCGTGTGACGATGGTGGGGGGGGGGGGGATCGTCCAAAATCGCGTGACGTCATTTATGGACGGCCCCTAAGCCGTACTGTACTAGTTGGCTGTGTCGCGTGGTGGCTGGTTTAACGACACATTTATATATTGACGCGATCTAGCCCAAAGCACCTATATTATGGATGATAGTGGTCGCGAAAGCGTCCTCCGTGTTCAACCGCGATGTGTCTGCCGCCTGTGCACAGGAGGGTTCATGCAGGACCCAAACCCTGGGCATCCTCGATGGCCCATGCCACTCAAGTGGATTGCACCTTGGACAAAAACGCCTGATTCTATTGCTCAGATCTAGATTAGTAAATTCTGCTAATGCCCCAGTTACCTGGTGTTCCATCGCTTCAAACATATCCTTCCACCTGGGTGGCAGGCTGGTGGGGGTGCAGTGGCGATGCTCGTGCCTCGCAGCAAGAGGCACCTGGGTTTGATTCCCTACTGGAACGTCCATTCTGTGTGGCGATTGTATGTGTCCTCTCCTCCTGTTCCTTTGAGTGTGTGGGGAGCGGTGGTGTCGTGCTTAGCGCACTGCCGTACGAACCCCGCCACCTGAGTTCGATTCCCACTCACGGCCAACGTCATTGATACATATCTGAAACCGGTCCTGGTCTTTCCCTAGGTCAACTCAGCCTTAAATGAGTACCTGGTGCGATGCATAGACATCTCCATGAGGGAGACAAAACAACTTGGTGAAGGCTATACGAGGGATCTTATATTCTGAGTGCGAGTGAGTTGAGCGGGTGGCGTGTGTGTGTTGTCTCCACGTTTTGCATGGGATTCCCCCCGGGCCTTCTGGCTTCCTCGCACAGCTAACCACGTGGACACAACGCCATTGGTGTTGGCCAAAGATTCCAATGTTAGCAGGACCCTCCTGAAAAAAGAGTCTACGGACTCAGTGTGGCTGTCCCGGGGAAGCCAGTGGTTGTCTAAATCACAAGGTGATGCCGAGCTGTGGATTCTGTGCGACAGCTTTATTTACCATATGTCCCCGTCTGTTTGCACAGAGCAATAATCACTCTCGTCTCCATTCTCAATGGCTCCGTGACTTAACTTCGCTGTCAATGTTTTTAAAGCGATTTGTCCGACCCAATATTCGTTGCAAGAAATGTATTTAATCGAATGCTTATTTGTGCGTGTGTAGTATTTCCTATCTATTTTGTCATGTATTTGTTTTCGTGCCGGTTTCTATTCGCTTGTCTTGCTCAGTACTTTGTAATTAAGTAGTTTTTTTTTCATTCTGGTGACCCAATTGAGACTCGTACTGGTCTCTTCAGTTCACACCCGGTTTAACAAGCCAGACATGCGACCTCAGCTTGATGTGGACTGACATTCATTGTTGTTGTTGCCAAACAAGTTAAGTAAAACAAGATGCAGGCCAATCAGCCAATTGACATTTCTGGGACAATAATTCCCAGCAGCAACTTTGGTCGAGATTTATTCAAGTGAATGGTGTTGCTGCCACTGCGGTGTGATGGTTTGCATGCTGGACTTGCAATACAGAGTTCACTCAGTTGATCTACCCCCGTGTGGCAACTAAGGTCCATGTGACATCACAAGGCCCACGTGACAATTCAGGCCCACGTGACATCTCAGGTCCACGTGACATCTCTGGCCCACGTGGCGCCACAAGGCCCACGTGACACCACAAGGCCCGCGTGAGGTCACAGTGGCGCTGTGTGCTCTCGCTCACTTTGCTTACAGAGCGGAACTCGTGTGCACAGTCCAAGATCCTTCCACATGGACGCCTCCATGGACGTTTTCGCCGGCGGTGATTTCCGCATACCAGGCCCTCAGCTGCAGCGGCGATTTGCGAACCACGCGGCCGGAGATGGTGGTGTGGACATTGGGGCTGTGGCCGGCGCTGGTGCCTTGGTTGATGCCGTGGCTGGTGCCTGGGGCGGTGCTGGGGCTGGGGATGGCGCCGGGGCTGGCGCTGTTGTCGGTGCTGGCGCTGGTGACGCATGGCACAGACGTCGCTGTCGCCCTGCATTTGGCGTCGCGCTGCGCAGAAGCAAGCGGGTCGCTATAATAGCGCTGCGGCGCAACCTGCGCCGTTTCCAGCAGCAGCTGCAGAAGCGGCAGCAGATGGGGCGAGCATAGGTGCAGCATCCACGGTAACACTACTGGCGTGTTTTGTCCAATTAGCCTAATCATTTATGTTTGGTTTAGTCCGCGTGGTAACGATTGGACCAAAAATACGTGACGTGAAAGCCTCCACCACCCGACACAGTTAAGATATGACATTGTCACTCGGTGCACAAGCGTTGAATGAGGCGCCAATTACTATTATTTCAGTTCAACTCACTGGTGAGTGAGTTTGTAAACAATCCTCAACACCAAACTTTTTAGCACGAGCATTGCTCCTCCAGCAATGAGTGACGACGTATTTTGTTTGGCTGTCGGGTGGTGGAGGGTTTCATGATACAAATTTGGCCAGATCACTTCTACGTGGCCAAAAACTAAAAAAAAATAATGAATCGTAATATTGGCTAGGGGCCGTCCATAAATGACGTCACACACCTAGGGGGGAGGGGGGTCAGACATTTGTGACGATGTGTGACGAGGGGGGGAGGGGGGTTTGAGAAATGCGACGTCACATCAAAATGCGCAGCTTTAAATAAATATAAACAATATAATTGTTGTAACAACCAACACTAATTTTTATTAATTTTCATTATTAACTATTAGATTATTTAAATTTACTAAGGTCACCTTTTATTTATTCCATGAAGGAACATTTTGCTTCTCCATGGGATAATGGAGAAGCATATATTTTGTAAAAAAATGTAATGATTGTTATTAAACATTTAGATTTTAATTATTCTACCAGGGCTTTTCATTCTGTGGAATTAATATGTATGTGATTGTTATAATTGTATTCTCCATTTTTCTTTGTTCTACTACAAAGTTTCAAGTATTTTTTATAGTTATAATTACTTTTAATAATTTATAATTATAAAAGAATTTCAATATAATATTCTGAACATCTGCAGTTTTACTTAGACGTTGAATATTTTCAAGTGAATTTTATGCAAAATTTCAGCTTTCCAACGCCTCCTTTTTAATAAATGTTTTCTCCTACAACATCAGAGTGCAGCGCCACATTAAAAACGCACTACAATGGCAATAGTTTAAAGTGATTTGAAGCATGTTTTATTTTCAAAATGGAATTATGGGCTAGTGGGGGGGAGAGCTTTGTGACGTCAAATTTGAGGAGGGGTCTGACTTTTTGTGACGCCGTGGGATGAGGGGGGGGGTCAAAAATCGGCCAAAATCGCGTGACGTCTTTTATGGACGGCCCCCTACGAAAACGGACGATGTGCTCAGTCATTTACGTATACGATTGTAGTTGTAGTGGTTGTGTGGTACTGATTGTTACTGCCCTGTGTTTCATTCAGAGCCTGTCGAAACAAAGAATACGAACACAATTTCCCAGACCTGTTGAAGATAAAGACAAAGATACCCCATATAGCCTTTAACGGACTGTTGGGACGAGTGCAGTTCGTGAACACTTCATGAAGGCTGGAATGGCACACGAGGGGGTGGGTGATCAACTGCACGCCCAACCACGAACACTACACAATACAAATAAACCCACAGACCTCCCAACCCACACACACCCACATGTACAAAAGTGCTCAACTGATTGAACTAAATAAACGTGAAAATTGAACTTTATATGGACTGGCATTCACTGTCGTTAATGAACAACATTTACACGGGGCAAGAGTTCTGTTTTTTTTTCTTCTGACCAAAATAAATGACACAAAGCCACATCGAGGTCCATCAGCTAAGAGCCTTGAGGGCCAATAACTCCTAAGCGCAACTTTCCTTGAGATGAAGTGAACAGGATTCTATTCTACAGTATTCTTGCACACGATGGCCGCAATATGTTCAGAAGCTAAACGCCAACGTCTGCTGGCTGTGACGAGAGGGTTTCCGCGAGGGAGTTCCGTGTCGTTCTCATGTTCCTCTTCCGTTGAAGGAGCAGAAGACCACAGTGGTTCACTTACACCACGGCTGGGGAACGTCCGGCCCGCGAAATCATTTGGTGTGGCCCTACCAAGGCAACCGCAGGCGGGACTCGAAATTCAATAAATCTCGGAGCAAACCTGGAAAAGCATCTGCAAGTAGCAGCAACATCATCAACACCAGCCTACATCACACGGCCTCGCCAAAGAGAAGCAGTTCCAGCCATCACATTAGGGGTGAGTTATTCAATGTTTGACCAAATATAACAGGCTAATTTTTAAGTTGATAATTTTGTATGGCCCACGAATGATGTTATAAATATCCAAATGGCCCTTGGCAGAAAAAAGGTTCCCCACCGCTGACTTACGTGGTAAGGTTGGCTCGCAGCAATCCCTCGCCAACCGTGGGGGTTAGGCCCCTGAAACCCCTGCCCCTGCCGACCTGCGATTGGCAAAACCGTGGTCGGCAAGACTAAAGGCGGATGGAAAATAGGGGTTAGGTTCCGCAGTCGCTGTTGATGCTCGTATTGAAGCCTAGCTACCGCATCCTACGCATTCAGTAAACTTGAGAAAGATATACAGTACTATACAAACACACAGTGACTCTGTATGAACAATATAACATTTTTACATTCATCGTGAACAAAAAATACATTTTAACAGGACCCTGCGGGGTGGGCTGGTAGGAACGAATAACCAAAGAATATAAACATAATGTATTATTACACTTGTTTAGCCAGGAAAGCCTCACTGAGACTAAAGGTTTTTGTAGGGTCCTGCCAAGTGTTTGCAGTAGGGGGCGATGTTGCTACACCGAATCGGACGATACGAAGGGAGAGTTTGAGGCCTAGCTCTAGGCTTTAGGCCTAGCTGTAGGCTTTAGGCCGCTGTGAGTTAATTTTTAATTTAAATGTTTTAATTATTAATGTAAAAGCTTTAAATTTTTATGTTTTTATTTAAAAACATAAGGGAATGTAACATTGTTAAACATTAACTCCCTTTCACACACGCGGGGGTACGATACGAAGGGAGAGTTTGAGGCCTAGTTCTAGGCTTTAGGCCTAGCTGTAGGCTTTAGGCCGCTGTGAGTTAATTTTTAATTTAAATGTTTTAATTATTTATGTAAAAGCTTTAAATTTAAATGTTTCTATTTAAAAACATCAGGGAATGTAACATTGTTAAACATTAACTCCCTTTCACACACGCGGGGGTACGACACGAAGGGAGAGCTTGAGGCCTAGTTCTAGGCTTTAGGCCTAGCTGTAGGCTTGATGCCGCTGTGAGTGAATTTTTTATTTAAATGTTTTAATTATTTATGTAAAAGCTTTAAATTTAAATGTTTCTATTTAAAAACATCAGGGAATGTAACATTGTTAAACATTAACTCCCTTTCACACACGCGGGGGTACGACACGAAGGGAGAGCTTGAGGCCTAGTTCTAGGCTTTAGGCCTAACTGTAGGCTTGATGCCGCTGTGAGTGAATTTTTTATTTAAATGTTTTAATTAAAAGCTATCTCAGGGAATTATAAGGGAATGTTACACTTGTTTAGCCAGGAAAGCGTCACTGAGTCTAAAGGTTTTTGTAGGGTCCTGCCAAGTGTTTGCAGTAGGGGGCGATGTCGCTACACGGACGGACGGATGGACGATATAATCTATTGTAGGCTGGTTCACTTCGTTCCTACCAGTATAACCTTTAATATCAATAGTGAAGTCCAGATAACGTTGACAGTGACGCTGCTGATGACGATGATGTTAGGGGATGGGGGGGAGGTTGCACTCCGCTCACACAGCTCAGATGACGTCCTACCGCCACAGTCTCTCCACGCGCGAGACGATCGAGCAAGCTCAACCACAACCCTCTCCTTGCCCTCTTCTTCACATTACGCTTCACCTTCACCACCACTGATGCTTGTGGGGGAGGGGGCATGATTAAGGGGACGAAAAAAATAGTAGCATTGCACAGTAGTTACGGAACAAATTCTTAGGTTTTTTCGGTAAAGTCACGTAGGTAAAAAATGTAAATAAATAAAAGTAAAATAAAACAAAATAAAAAATCACGACGTTTCGGAAGCAACACAAGCCTCCGTCTTCAGGTGGAACCGTCACAGCCACGACAGCTGTATCAAGTAAATGAGAGATCACAAGAAATACCACCCCGTATATATAATGGTTGAGGGGGGAAGGGCCAGGAACGGCACACTTTTTATTAATATGGTAAGGTGAGGCTTAAGACTAAGAATAGACTGCATAACAAAGGGCTGAGCCTTTGTTATGGAGAGGTGCGGTTTGTAACTAACACCTAGCATACATAACAAAAGTGTGGAAAAAGAAAGCAAGTAAAAACTAAAAATGGTATAACAACAAACTGGCTGTCTATCAATAACCTGTAATAGTTGTCTGTCAAATAAGATGGTCCAAATAAGTGTAGTTACATCTTTTTTGCATGGTTAATCACATCTTTCCAATGATTACTCAGTTTGTAACCCTCATCACGGTGGCACGCAGGGCAAGCGTGATGGGTAACAAGCGCTTGATGCGCCCCTGGTGTGGTAGATGCTTGAACACGGCTGGAGATTTGAAACATACATCACCCCTTCCGGATCACATCAGCAGCCTCACTCTACGCCACAAATACAAATGAAGGCGAGAGACGGAAGCAAGTCTGGACTGCGGCCGGCATAACATCTCTCACTCAGCGATCCTGTCGTCGAATCGCCCGGTTTCAACCTTCTGCACCGCCAATGGTCGACTATCAACCGAATCAACACGTGGCCGATGCAGCCACCTGATGCACAAATGGTGCATCAAACCATTGACCACATTGTAGACACTCCTCCATTGCTGCTGTCTTCACTTCTTTGAAGGAGGAATGGACGCGATCCACTCTGCTTCTCAAAAGAGAATTAAGTGGATTACAAATATCTAAAATTACATCTTAATCAAGGGTAGCAGGGAAAACCAAACCGTGGTTATGCAAAACGCTGTACCGTGGTTGGCAAAAATGGTACACGTAATATTGTGCATTAATACTCGAAACCATGGTTGGCAAAATTGTAGTTGATGAGATATTGCTGCACTGTACATTGAACTTATTTTGCACTGTACTTAGCCAATCGTGCTAATCAGAGGTGCAGGGGAAGGATAACAAACTAAATGCGGTTCTAAAGAAATTCGTTTCCAATGAGATTTAAAAGTGCATAGCTCCAGTGGCTTCCTAATACTATCACTGTGCTCAGGTTGATTGGAGCACCGCTTTGTGTTAATGACTTAACCAATATGGACGCCCACTAAATAACTTAACCAACATGGACGCTCGCTAAGTCAGGGGTGTCCAAACTTTTTGCAAAGAGGGCCAAATTTGATAAAGTGAAGATGCCCGGGGGTCAATAGTTCCTTCTGACATTTTTTAAACCACAAAAGTTACGTGAAAATATACACTGTTAGAAAACAATTGTCATTGTCACAATTACCTTTATTTTTCAAATGACAATGTAGCCAAATATAAGCCACTCAGGCAGACGTGAATAACTCTAAAAACAAAATTCTGCCTTTCATTCAGTCAGATAACATTGAACAAACTGTATAGAATACCTTACATTTCCATGAGTTAAATATCTTTGCCTCATGAGCATTTTAAACAGGAGTTATAAGTAATGCAAAGTGGTTTGTTATCATTACACTTTAAAACAAGTTAATTTTGCCCTTGTCTTTTACAAGATCTTTCAGAAATCAATAGTTTGTGTCACATCTACAGGTACATAACATCAACAGTTATAACCTAATCTTATTCAAGAGTTTAATAAAAAAAGTGCCATAAGTCCAAGTGCATTAGTGTGCTTTAGGCTTTTCACTGTTAATAGTGACAGATGTTACCGTTCAAAAGACTCAATTTCAGATTGATCAAGGAACAGATAACTTGCTGACACTAATGAGAAGGGTGATACTGAGATCTATATTTCAGAAAACAGACCAGGTCTGATTTCGATTTAAAGCTTTCGTGACTGCAGGGATTCATCTTCTTGATTCTTTCGGTAAAGTCACGTAGAATGGAAATAATAAAATAATAAAAATAAAACAGGTCTGGCTTGAGGGCAGTGGTTGAGAAGCGTAAAATGTCACGCAAGTGGGAGTCACTCATCCTTGACCTCAATCGGTTCTTGTTTAAGTTCATGACTGAGAATGTTTGCACACACAAATATGTGGAGCCGAATAAGCTCAGCATTTTCTTAGCGAATGACCGCATTTCTGGAAACCTGCTTTTGTCCAGCTGCCGGTAAAAGTCAACAAGAGAACACTCCTGGTGTTTTCCGCGGCACTTATCGTCACAGCTGTGGAGGAGCATCATCAGGGTCCACGGAGAAGGGAGAAGAGAAAAGCAACATGTCCTTTTCAATAACTGCAAAGTCCCGAAAGCGTTTGTTAAATTCCACAGAAAGAGATGCAATAGCTGTTGCATAACTCTTCATTTGCGCACCGATGTTGTCCTGTGGGAAACTGTCAATGACCTCTTTCAAAGCTGGGAAGTGTGCGGTGCAGGGCTCTGTTTGGGACAAATGTCTTTGGAAAAGTTGCAGTTTGGTTCCAAAGGCCTTGATGTGAGCGTATAGCAGGCTCCCCACTGCATCTTTTCCTTGAAGATTAACATTCAGTGCATTCAGATGCTTCGTTATGTCAACCAAAAAAGCCAAATTTGCCAGCCATACAGGATCGGACAGTTCTTCCATTGGTTGTCCCTTCTCACCCAAAAAATGTCCAATTTCCTCTTTGAGAGAGAAAAATCGCTGCAGTGCGGACCCCCGACTTAGCGACCTCACATCGTTGTGATATATTACGTCACCGTATTCAGCCTGGATGTCACGCAAGAACTGCTGAAACTGTCGGTGGGATAGAGCTTTAGAGCGAATATAATTGATTGCCTTTGCCACTGGTTTCATAACATCGTCAAATTTGAGATGTTTGGCGCAGAGAGCCTGCTGGTGAATGATACAGTGAAGTTTAATAGCGTTACCTGCTTCTTCGCTGACTTTATTGCAGATCAGTGTGGACAATCCACTTCGCTCACCAGCCATGGCAGGCGCACTATCGGTAATGATCCCAGAAACTTTACTCCATGGTAGTTTCATATCATCAACAGCTTCACTAACAGAAGCGAATAAACCTGTTCCTCTGGTTTGCCCTTTAAGGCTTTTGAGGTCAAGCAGCTCCTCTGTCACGTTCATGTTGTCATCAACTCTTTAAAAAATAAGTAGTTGTGCAGTGTCAGATGCATCAGTGCTTTCATCGCAGGGTAATGAGAAATAATCAAAAGCCACTCTCCTGTCCCCCAGTTGTCTTTGAATATCTGACAATATGTCCTCAACTCTCTGTGCCACAGTGTTGCGTGCCAGGCAAACATGAATAAATTCTTGCTTCTTCTCGGGGCAAATGTTCTCCACCATTTTCATGACAATCTTTGATATAAATGCACCTTTAGTAAAAGGTTTGCCATGTTTAGCTATTAACATGGCCACTTCGTAGCTGGCTTTGGTGATGTTTTCCTTTGACTCACAGGCCCGCGTGAAGAATCGCTGTTGCGATGCCAGAGCAGCTTGGAGTTGCTTCACTATTTCAGCGCGGTCATTCCCTGTTAGCTTGTCGTATGTTGTAGCATGTTTAGTCTCGTAGTGTCTCTTTATGTTGAAATCCTTAAACAAGGCAACCGTCTCTTTACAAAGTAGACAAACACAATTGCCTCGATTTTCAGTGAAGTATTGTAATTCCCACCGCTCCTGTCAACTTTTCTCTTTTTTTTGCAGTCGCCATGGCAGAAATGATTCGAGAAGGGTTCTCGGCACGGATGCAGAGCCAGATAGCATTAGGATGGTGCTGCCATCGTGTGGTGAAAGGAGGAATTACATCTTTAAAGTTTTATGATTTATTTATTCTGACAGAGCTAACGAGCCATAAATAACACATTATAAGACCGAAGCTGCGGGCCGTATGAAATCTGACCACGGGCCGTGATTGGCCCATGGGCCGGACTTTGGACATGCCTGTGCTAAGTTATTTATTTAGCGAGTGGAGGAACTGGAGTCTTGGTGGAGGAACTGGACTCTTGGGGGAGGAACTGGAGTCTTGGTGTAGGAACTGGAGTCTTGGTGGAGGAACTGGAGTCTTGGTGGAGGAACTTGACTCTTGGGGGAGGAACTGGAGTCTTGGTGTAGGAACTGGAGTCTTGGTGGGGGAACTGGAGTCTTGGTGGAGGAACTGGAGTCTTGGTGGAAGAACTGGAGTCTTGGTGGAGGAACTGGAGTCTTGGTGGAGGAAATGGAGTCTTGGTAGAGGAACTGGAATCTTGGTGGAGGAACTGGAGTCTTGATGGAGGAACTGGACTCTTGGTGGAGGAACTGGAGTCTTGGTGGAGGAACTGGAGTCTTGGTGGAGGAACTGGAGTCTTGGTGGAGGAACTGGAGTCTTGGTAGAGGAACTGGAATCTTGGTGGAGGAACTGGAGTCTTGATGGAGGAACTGGACTCTTGGTGGAGGAACTGGAGTCTTGGTGGAGGAACTGGAGTCTTGGTGGAGGAATTGGAGTCTTGGTGGAGGAACTGGAGTCTTGATGGAGGAACTGGAGTCTTGGTGGAGGAACTGGAGTCTTGGTGGAGGAACTGGAGTCTTGGTGGAGGAACTGGAGTCTTGGTGGAGGAACTGGAGTCTTGATGGAGGAACTGGAGTCTTGATGTAGGAACTGGAGTCTTGGTGGAGGAACTGGAGTCTTGGTAGAGGAACTGGAGTCTTGGTGGAGGAACTGGAGTCTTGGTGGAGGAACTGGAGTCTTGGTGGAGGAACTGGAGTCTTGGTGGAGGAACTGGAGTCTTGGTGTAGGAACTGGTGTCTTTGTGTAGGAACTGGAGTCTTGGTGGAGGAACTGGAGTCTTGGTAGAGGAACTGGAGTCTTGGTGGAGGAACTGGAGTCTTGGTGTAAGGAACTGGAGTCTTGGTGGAGGAACTGGAGTCTTGGTGGAGGAACTGGAGTCTTGGTGGAGGAACTGGAGTCTTGGTGGAGGAACTGGAGTCTTGGTGGAGGAACTGGAGTCTTGGTGGAGGAACTGGAGTCTTGATGGAGGAACTGGAGTCTTGGTGTAGGAACTGGAGTCTTGGTGGAGGAACTGGAGTCTTGATGGAGGAACTGGAGTCTTGGTGGAGGAACTGGGGTCTTGGTAGAGGAACTGGAGTCTTGGTGGAGGAACTGGAGTCTTGATGGAGGAACTGGAGTCTTGGTGTAGGAACTGGAGTCTTGGTGGAGGAACTGGAGTCTTGGTGGAGGAACTGGAGTCTTGGTGGAGGAACTGGAGTCTTGGTGGAGGAACTGGACTCTTGGTAGAGGAACTGGAGTCTTGGTGTAGGAACTGGAGTCTTGGTGGAGGAACTGGAGTCTTGGTGTAGGAACTGGAGTCTTGGTGGAGGAACTGGAGTCTTGGTGTAGGAACTGGAGTCTTGGTGGAGGAACTGGAGTCTTGGTGTAGGAACTGGAGTCTTGGTGGAGGAACTGGAGTCTTGGTGGAGGAACTGGAGTCTTGGTGTAGGAACTGGAGTCTTGGTGGAGGAACTGGAGTCTTGGTAGAGGAACTGGAGTCTTGGTGGAGGAACTGGAGTCTTGGTGTGGGAACTGGAGTCTTGGTGGAGGAACTGGAGTCTTGGTGGAGGAACTGGAGTCTTGGTGGAGGAACTGGAGTCTTGTTAGAGGAACTGGAGTCTTGTTAGAGGAACTGGACTCTATTCATCTCAATTCGTTATCCCTTAACATCTGGATCCGTACAATGGCCTCCACACTGATCTCATCTGCAGTGTTGTGCCAGATGAGAGATAAAGTGATGAGATAAAGTGATTAAATAAAATCATAAGATGATTTTCATATGTTTAATAGCTTATTTAAGTGTTTTTAATGATTTCATAAATACTTTTTCGTAGGCAAATATCATTTTACGCGAAATTTGATATTTACGAGCATCTCCAGAACACATCCCTCATCGTGAATAACGACGGAAGACTGTTAACACTTCTTAAACATTTCATATGTTAGATTATTTAATGTAAATTTGAACCTCGATTAAGGCCATCAAGGTTCTTTGGTTTTCCATTATTTCAGCAGTCAGAGTTTTTTGTATTTTATTAGGGCGATTTTGTTGTCATGGTCATTTGGCTGTTCTTGTTTTACCAATTTGACGACGTTGTCCACCACACCAGTCTGACCAAAATATCTTTCACGCAAATCATCCTCCACACATTGCTTTGTAACGCTTCCCCATTCAGCAGGTATCTCCGCCTTACCTACCCCATAATGCTGGGCCAACTGCTCATTGAATTGGTGCAAGACTAACTTCCAGAAGAGGGGGTTTTCCACGTCTGGATCTGGCGGGATGTTCCAGTCTTTATACAACTTGTTGACGTTGCGAAGGTTGTTGAATTTTACGGGCATGTTTCCCGTGTCTGCGTTGTAAAATGTATGCTCGCCCATCCTTCCATTCTTTTTCCGCGCCATGGAGGTGGTGCACACGTCGCACATGAACGTCCCATCGTGATGCCTCCTGCCCATGAGCCCCTGGGGATAGTGAACGGTGGCTGCGTGCTCCCTGTGGTTGCCTCCCCCGCGATCGCAGGGAGCTCCACACAGTGGGCACTGCTGACCGCAGCCTCGAAGCATCCACAGCAGCTTCCGGTGCGGCCTCATGCGAAGGTCTTTCAGTGTCTTCTCAACGTCGCAGGTGTCACTGCAGTTCGGCTGCACTTTGCAAATGACCACCCTCAGTTGGGCGACGACCGCGGCCGAAAGTCTCTCAAGGCTTTGGGTATCAACGAGGGGGTACACATCGAAAATTCTCAGTAGCTCCACGTGCTGGAACACGATATCTCCGGCAAGGAATTTTTTTAGGCTGCGGAAGAGATCGGCCGCCGTCGCTGGGACAGGTTGTGCTGCCTTCGCTGCCATCACTGAGTTCTCAATTTTTGATATGACTTCTTCTAACATGTTTTTTTTCTCCAGGCAGATGTTATGCAAGCTTAATAATTTATATTGCTTGCAAACTTGGATGACGTAGTTCTTCACCCAGTCATGCGTGGCATCTTCATGAGAACTTATGAACTTTATAAAAAGAACAAAGTCTTCCTCCATGAGCAAGTGTAAGAGGACGTGCATCTGTAGGTGTTTACGACTCGAAAATGCGTCACTTTTTTCTCTGATCATTTTCACGAGCCTTGTCCCCAACTGCTGATGGATCATTATCACAAGGGCCGGCTTGATGAAACATTGGCAAAAGGCGGCAGCGATGTTCTGTCTTTCATCCCCACTTTGGCACATTTGCCCGAAAAGGTCCAGGGCAGTGTTCTTTAAGTCCGACAGTTTGTGCTCCAATAGCGCCTTGTCCAGTC